CCGGCGCCGCCGCCCGCTGGGTTGGCCTCCATCTTGGGCGGGTGAGAGACCGGAGACCCTGCGGAGAAGAGGACGCGGCTGAGGAAGCAGGGCAGCACCGGGTCTCCCTCAACGTCCAGTCTTGTCCCTCTGTCCCTCCACCCCACGGAGCAGTCTTCCTCCTGGCTCGCTGGCCCCACTGATCTGTCCCACTCAGCCGATCGCTTCCTTCCTGGGTCCTCCTTGCTCCTCGTCTCCCCTGGCCTCTCCAATTCATCTCATCCCCTTTTTACCAGGGTCCTCACACATCTCTGACCGGCCCACAGACCCTCTACCTCCAACACTGCCTGCTGGCCCTCGACCTTCTCTGCTCAGATTCTAATTCTCCGCACCCCTGGTCTCTGGTCTCAGTCCCCTTTGCAAACCCTCTCAGGCCTCAATTCTACGCACCCAGGTCCTAGGCCCTCTGCTCTGTGCCCCCACCTCCCCCACCACACACACACCCCAGCCCTCATTCTCAATCCCCTCAGGTTTCGCCTTCGTCAAATGACAATAATAGCTCCTCTCAGAGTGGTTAAGAGGGTGGCCTCTGGAGCCTGAATGCCAGCTTTGAATCTAAGCCCCGCCACTCTCTACCTGTGTGGCCACGGACAACTTCCTGAATCTCTCTGTGCCTCATCTACCAATGGAGGTGACAAAGCACATCCCCACAGCACAGGGCTGCTATGTACGCAAGGCCCTTCAGGTGGACGCTTCCTTAAGTGGAGGAGTCACACTGTTCTCACTCTCATCACCAGGAGTGCAACTAGAAAGTCAGGACAAAGCAAGAGAGCTGGAGTGAAGTCAGTGCGGGGAGGGGCGCGTTCTTTCACTACAGGGTCGGAAGGAGACACTGCTTGCCTGGCACAAACGAGTTGCGGCAGGGGCGTTGGCACTGAAAGCAGGCAGCCTGACAGCAGGAGACACGTGGCCCTGGGCCTGGGCAGACCTGGGTTCAAGTCCCAGCTCCTTCCTGGTCCACGTTCTCTCTACGGCTAAAAGCAGGCAGTAACCCCAAGGAGGCAGGGGAATTTAAGGGGCTGAAGCAGGATGAAAGGCAACATACTGGTTGGCACAGTTCGCTCAGTCCCAGGAGCGATGTGTACCTTCAGTGACATCACACACCTGGACGGAGACTGACGGCAGGTGCTTAGGGAGCATGGATTGCTGTCCTTGCCCCTGTGGGGGTTTCTTGCCCTCTCCATGAAAGTAGTCATTCTCTGGGCACCTCCTTGACAGGACTTTTCATTCCAGACTGCAGCTGTCCATGTCTGTCCACACCCACCCTGCCAAACCTCAGCTACTACAATTGATCTCTGAGCCTCAGACCCACCCAGGGGCCTCAGGAAATGACTCCACTGAGTGGGTGGAGAGCCCTTGGGAGAAGGGCCCACAAAGTCTGGCTTGCTTCTTGGCCATCGTCCTTCTCTGTTGGGGGCCTGGCTCTGTGCCCAGCATGCTCCAGGGGTCAGTGGGGTTTACCAAGGCCATGGCCCAGGGGCCCCCATCCATCTGGCTGACTTTCTCCCCTGACAGGTGAAAGGTGAGTGTCTCCTCTGCCACACCCCGGAGGTCAGTATTTTTAGCCTCCAGCTCTGGGTGTCCCTGGATGAAAGTCAACATCCTATGCCCTTCACGCTCCCTTAGTTAATCTCATCTCCGGAAGGAGTAGAGGCGTGGCTCGGTGCTCGTGGAAGCCTGTGGGCAGAACCTAAGTCTGGGAGACAGCTGGAGTGGGCTGGGTGGACTGGGAGAAAGCTCTCGGTGCAGGGGTGCAGGGAGAAGAGGAGGGGAGGTGTCCCAGGAAGGAAGCCCAGCCCTGGCTCGCTTCCACCAGAGCACGTGTTTACAGCTAATGTGGACTGGGCACTTCCCACGGGCCAGCATTCTTCTAAGCACATCACACATACTAACTCACTGAACCCTAACCGCTACTCTGTGAGACTATAACACAGGGACTATCATCCCCATTTGACACACCAGAGGCACAGAGAGGTCAAGTGACTTAGCCAAGGTCACAGAGCAAGTCCGTGGCTGGACCCCCCACCTCCTCCCATAGGGTTGTTCCCTGAGGAGGAAGGGGAGGGTGGAACTGTGGGGGTAGGAGCCTTATTTGGGGTGCTTTCTGGGCAATGAGGGGCATTTATACAAGGGGCTGGGTGGAGGGGGAGGTGGTTACCATCCTGAACAGATGGAGCAGTGAAGTGGGGAGACCGTTCCCTCTTGCCTAGAATATTCTTCCCCAGACCTCAAGGCTCCCACCCCTGCCTTCTTCAAGTGTCTGCTCAGGTGTCATCTCCAAGAGAGGGGGCACCCTTCACTCTATCACTCACTAACCCTTCATCCTGCTTTTTTTCATCACAGTCATTGCCACCAATTTACTGTGTATATTTCCTTTGCTGTGTGTTTACTGTCTGGCCTTCTCACCTAAGAGAGTGAGGATTTGGCCTGTCTTGCTCACCACTCGGCCCTCAGCACCTCACATAGTGCCTGGCACAGTGTGGGTACTCAATATTTACTGAAATGTAGGAATTAAATAGCACCTTCCTAAATCAGCAGTGGATCACAATGAAATCACAAGGGAAATTAGATCAACAACAATGGAAAAGCAACATACCAAAACTTAGGAGATGCAGCTAAAGCTGTACTCAGAGGTAAATTTATAGCTGTAATGCCTACTGATAAATGTTGAATAAGTGAAGGGATGAGACTTGGCTGACCAGAATTCCCTGAGGGAGGGAAGGAGGAGGACATTTAGCAGAGGGAGCTAAAAGTGGTGAGGTATCCCCAGGAGAACGAATTCTGGTGGCAGTGATGTTATGCAGAGGGTGCTGAGAGTGGGTGGGCAGATGCTAAAGGGCTGCTGCTCAGAGGCGAGCAGGCAGTATTACTGGGGGACAAAACTGATCAGGTTCACGATCACTTCCACTGGGAAATAAGAGGCATTTCCTCTCTTAGGGGACCCAAGCCATAACTTGCTGTCTTTCTAAGGGGAGATGTGTCATGGATTTCATACAGAGAGTGGCATGGTGGGCGGGACCCCCCCAAAAGAGTCAGGAGTCCCATAGCAACCACAGTTACAGTCAACCAACTCATGTTTATTGTTTGACCAGTTTCTTATGTACCATCGCTCTGATACTTCATAATAGTCCTGGACCATTTACTGGACCCATTTTGTAAGTAGGGAAACTGAGGAGAGGGGGACAGGGTCATTTCGCCAAGGTCATGTAGCCACTGAAACGGAAAGCAGGTCTCCCTGATGCCAGGACCTGTGGGCCACTCTGCTGCAACAAAGCTGCCTTGTGATGAAATTCTAGCCTATTCATAACAATAATAATAACATATAGTAACATGTAACACTGAATGACTGCTTTCCACATGCCAAGTACACTTCTAAATCCTTAACATGTGTCGATTCAATGAATCTTCCCAACAACTCTAGAAGATGGTTAAGATTATTAACTCTATTTTACAAAGGAAGAAACTGAGGGCCGGAGAGGTCAATTAATCTCCTAAAGTCACATTAGTAACCAGTGGCAGGGCCAAAAGTTGAAGTCAAGCAGTGGGGTTACAGAGTACATGCTGTTACCCTCACCACATGCCGGCTTTCAATATTTCTCTCCCCAAAATAAAGGAAAGCCCTCATTCCACCTTATACTGGAAATAAACTTTGCCCTACCCACTTCCCTGCAACCCAACCCCAGGACTAGTCACTGGCATTTACTGAATGCTAACAAGCACCAGATTAGGTGCCTTACGTTGCTGTCTCAATCAAACTTCACAACAGACTCGTAAGATAAGCATCACTATTATTCTCATTTAGCACACAGGAGGACTAAGGCCACACCATGTCACTGTCACTCCTCTGCTCAAAACTTGCAGTGACCCCATCTGGCTCAAAGTAGGTGAAAGATGACCTCCACGGCCCCAGCAGCTTCCTGGCTGCTCCACCAATGTGCCAGTTCTGTTCCTGCCCCAGGGCCTTTGCACTGGGTGCTGCTTCTGCCTGAAATGCTCTGACTCCCATGTACACAGCAGCTCTCTCACTCCCTCACCTCCTTCACGTCTTTGCTCAAATGCTGTCTTCTCAGTGAGGTGCCCCAAGACCACTGTCACCTGTCACCCAGACCCACATTCCTGCTCACCCCAGCCTTCTTCATTTCTCTCCTTTCTAGGTAGCATCATCTGATAAACCATATAGCCTGTGTGTCTGTCTTGTTGATGCTGGCCTCCCCCTTGAGGAGGTGGGCTTCAAGCAGGCAGGGATTTTTATCTGTTTTGTTCACTGTTCTATCCCCAGGACCGAGAACAGTGCCCATCTCAACAAATATTTGTTAAATAAGTGAATGAATGAATCTAGGAAAAGGGGGAGTGGTTTGCTCAGAGATATGAATGCTAGTGGAACCCAGGGCTCATCCTCTTAACCATTTCACACTTAGGGGAGGGGAGCTGTTAAGGCAGCCCCCTGATGAGTCACAGTTGTCCAGGAGAGGGCTTTACACACAGGTGTAACTTTCTGGCACAGGGCTTTCTGGGGGGGACAAGATATCATCAGAATCTCTTGAAAGAGGCCCTCTTGCCACCCCCTCTGACAGCGGGGACCCTGCAAGTCTATGCCCTTATCCTGCTGTATGTTCTTCACACGCATGTATGTATTTTGCTTTTTAATTTTCTGCACCATGAACTAGCATATGCACTCCCTGAGGACAGTGGCTTTTGTCTCCTGTTCTCTGCTGCATCCCTAGTGTGCAGTAGGTGCTCATCAAACAAACAGTTGTTGAACAAAAGAATGAATGAAGAATATTCATGAAGAACATTCTTAGCTTGGTGGAGCTGACAAAGGCTAGATGACTGATTCCAATGCCCTGTGAGGGCAAACCTCCTCTGTCCTTATTCTTCCCTTCAATTCCTCTGCTCCAGCCTCACTGGCATCCCCCTCACAATGATCATGGCCACCTCAGGGCCTTTGTACTTGCTCTTCCCTCTGCCTAGAACAGTTCACCCACATCTTTACATGACTAAGTTACCTCTGCTAATTCAGGTTTCACCTTTGAAGTAGCTCCTAAGGCTGTCAGAAAACCCAGAAAACAGCATTGATCTTGTTTATCTGTTTGCTTTTGATCTGTCTCCTCAACTAGACTATAAAGACCTACAAAACAAAGACTGTGTATGTCTCTCTCTCCTTCACGGCTGTATGCCCTGGACCTAGAACAATGAATATTCGCTCAGTGAAGAGCGAATGCATGCGAATGAATGACTGCCTAGAGGGAAAAAGAGGTCTTGCCCTAGTGAAGCTGGGAGTCTTCTTCACTTTGTCCAGGAGGAGGGAGTGAGAGCTGGATGAGAAGAGGCAGCTCAGGATGAGAGCCGTTAGCACTGGGGGAGAGGGGCATTCTAAGAAGGAAAGCCTCATGCAGGGCACTGCTCTGTGGGAGGCCAGCAGACAGGAGCTGACCCAGAGGAGGGTGGGGTGGGAAGCGGGACAGAAGTGTTTCACGGGAGCCTGGGGCTAAACTGGCAGCTATTTCTACCTGAAGAGGGAGAGAATGCGGGTGTGAGAGCACAACTCTAGACAGAGCTGTTTTTGGCAGGGGAGGAGGTCGCTGAGTTCAAAGGAGTATTCTAAAGGAGAATTATTAGGGCAGGGGAAATGGAGAAGGAAAAAAGGCATTCTTGGCCGCTGACCAGAATGAGAAGTATTTTTACACCAACAGAAGGGGTATGGGGGGGCGATGGCTAGGAGCTTTGGGGGCTTTTGTCCGTGGACAGAGAAAATGGGGGGCAGACCTGCTGTAAAGCACTAATGTAACATTCGTTGGAGGCAACCTATAGGGGATACTAAATGCAGGTTCATGGGTAGTTGCCCTGCATGGGGACGGGCAATGCATTTTGGGGGCTGTCCTGGAAGAAGCAATGACGGGGGGCTCTGTAGAAGAGATCGTACGATAAAGCATTAGTAGGGGGCCCTGGCAGCAGTTTAGGGGATCGCCACGAATGAGGGCGCAGCTGTCCTGCATGGGAGCATTAGTGGGAGATACCTGGAGTAGTCTTATGGGGGAGCAGTGACTGGGGGCCCCTGGAGAGGGCCCACCGGGAGAA